GCCTCCAACAAGACGGCGTTCCTATGAGCGAACCTGAAAAACTAGCGCTGCAGCTAACCGTGTTGGAATATTTCTCCTGTTAGTCGTCTGTGTTTGGACCCGCTTTCTTTGGTTCCCAGAACCAGAACATGTGGAACTGGACCTCAATGTGCTGCATGTGTGTGTTGGTCTCTAGATGGTCACAGGGAATTAGAACTTTTTTTTTTCTTCCCAGGTTCTAAATCTGACAGCTGAACCGGGTCTTAGTTGTTGTTTTTTCCAGCCGTGACATTTGGACCTCCTCAGTGCCGATCAAACACTGAAGCAGGTTACTGGGATCAGAGAGATCCAGATGTTCTTCTTCATGAACCGCCCCATTCAGCTAGAAACCACAGCTTCAGCTGCTGAACATGAAGGCAGAACCATCAGCTGTGGTCCACCAGTTCGGACCCAGAACCTCTCTAAGCTGCCTTGGTTCTGGCTCCCAAACTAGAAATGTGCTGAAGTTGATCCAACCTGGAGGATCAACGTCCATCAGGCCTAAAATCAGCTTTATCTGCTCGTTTGGACCCGTCCAGAACTGGGCCAAGCACTGTGGAGCCGGTTCTGAGGCAATGAAGTGGTGCAACCACTGAGGAGAACTTTGTTTCCGTGCCAGAGGCCCGGTTCTGTAAAATCTGGGTTTCTCTACTTGGACCAACGTAGCAGATAAGAGAAGGTTCTAGATTAGCAGAAACAGAACATGAATGATTGGAGCCGCTGCTCTCTGATGCTGCAGACTGAATGGAGCAAACTGAGCGTTAATCAGCTGCTGCGGGTCGGTTCTGTAAAGCAGAACTCACTCTGAATAAACCCGGTTCAGAGTTCTGAGTAAATTCCTGCAGGTGCAGCTTTGATAGATACCTCATCAGACACTAAGATGTGGATGCCTGTGGTTTTCTGTCGGTAGATCTGTGTGATTTGTTGTGGAGTGATGTTGTAGAGCCCAGCAATCTTCTCAGAGAGGTCCACTAAGGTCCGCTCCTCCAGGTACAAAGCATGGTAGACTGCAGAAAGGCAGAGGGCAGATATGGTGAAGCTTCATGTGGCATCAGAACCTTCAGATTTAACTGCCTCAGATTGATCTATTTAACGCATTCATCTGGGAAACTATTCGGTTTGAAGTCCAGATGGAAGAACAGTAATGGCTGAGATCATGATCATTTTCTCTGGGTTCACAAGCTACATCTGATAAACCCCAGCAATAGCCCCTGATGAACCCCAGAAATAGCCCCTGATGAACTGCAGCAATATTCCCCTGATGAACCTAAACAATAGCCCCAGATGAACCCTGATGAACCCCAGCAATAGCCCCAGATGAACCCTGATAAACCCCAGCAATAGCCCCTGATGAACCCTGATGAACCCCAGCAATAGCCCCAGATGAACCCTGATAAACCCCAGCAATAGCCCCTGATGAACCCTGATGAACCCCAGCAATAGCCCCTGATGAACCCT